CCCCCTTTTTTAGGCCAAACAATCCATCCACCGCCCCCTGAAACCCACCTAAAAATAGCAGCAGCAGCATGCCAATGAAATCCCTTCAAGGCTATTCCAGCACATGAAGAAGGTTTCGTCTTCGAGCAACAAGCTCTGGCCAGCTGCAGCAAGAGCAACTCAGGTCAGATTAATGGACCTATGAGCACAGCAACCACCACTACTGCTGCTACTGAGGAGCGGTAAGTGGCAAAAGAAGCTAATGTCCGCGTTAACTTTTTCTCAGACTTACTTATCCCTATATATCCACCTCTTCCACCCCCCCTGCAGATCAAATTCTCGAGCCAGCTTCTTCACCTCCCGCCGACGCCACTGCTGCTGCTGGTCGACCTATCTTCTTCGCGGCTCTGAGTCCGCCACCGGCGAAAAAGGGATCGGCCGCGCGCCGCCGTGATTAAAGGTATGTTAAGCATGTAACCACCGATGCCCCTTCCGGTAAAAGAATCCGGCCGTTTCGCACATGTGTATGTACATATCTTAGAGTATATTGGTTGGTAGTATAGATGCATCCCTTTCACACACGCACTCAGAGCCAAAGGGAAGGGAGCGGAGTGTGCACCAACTCCAAATTTAAGGGCGGACCCCAAATACGCACGCATTCATCAGCTAGCTTCATCATTCGTGTACTATAATGGCGGAGCTTGTGTCTTTTGGGCGTCAGGTTGATCCATGGACCTGTCGCCAAACCCCGAGAGCCCGAATGCCCCGGGCGGCGGTGGCGGCAGCGGCGCCGGTGGATCTAGCGGCGGTGGAGGGGCGTCCTCGTCTGCTGGGGGTGGAGGCACACCGCAGACGCCCAGCCGGTACGAGGCGCAGAAGCGGCGGGACTGGAACACGTTCGGGCAGTACCTGCGGAACCACCGGCCGCCGCTGAGCCTCGCGCAGTGCAGCGGCGCGCACGTGCTGGAGTTTCTGCGGTACCTGGACCAGTTCGGCAAGACCAAGGTGCACACGGCGTCGTGCCCCTTCTTCGGCCACCCAAACCCGCCGGCGCCCTGCCCCTGCCCGCTGCGTCAGGCGTGGGGGAGCCTCGACGCGCTCGTGGGACGCCTTCGCGCCGCGTTCGAGGAGCACGGCGGCCGCCCCGAGTCCAACCCCTTCGCCGCCCGCGCGGTCCGCCTGTTCCTCCGCGAGGTCCGCGAGCACCAGGCTCGCGCGCGCGGCGTCAGCTACGAGAAGAAGAAGCGCAAGAAGCCGACGCCTGGTGACGCCAGCAGCAGCAGCAGCCACCAGGCTCCACCCCCACCGCCACCGCCCCCCGCCGGTGCGGCCTGCTGAGGAGGAGAGAGGACCTGTACTGCGCACGTGCCCATTTGGTATGCCGGACCGATGATGAGCATATTTTATGTAGGTCTCGATCGATTAACTGCTTGTGCATGCATGCATTGTTTTACTACCATTCTGCCGGGCTTAAGATCTAGACTAGATGATTCAGACTTTTATTGATCGTGCTACGTCCATTTGCTAGTTATTATTTGCTTCTGCTTAATTTCTACTGCCAAGCTTCCTCTATCTTAATTTTTGTGTTGAACTTTGTTCTTGCAAGTAAGTGAATGCCATTGACTGATCATGGATTGCCCACATGCCTGCGTTAAACGTCTCACTGCTCATTAAAACACGTACATATAGTACGTACTATGTCCTGAATTAAGTTTATAGAGATAGCTTGCGTGTGCGTATGGTGACCGTACGCTGCGCACGCAAGAGATCAATCGATAGATGAGGTGCATT